AGGCTCTGGGGGGCCTCGCCCGTTCCCTCCGTCCCGGCGCGGACGGCGCTGAGGGGGGCGGCCGGTGCCAGCTGCCCGGGCGGGGCTCCCTGCCCGGCCGGCACCGTCCTGCTTGGTCCCGGGCACCTCTTGCAGCAGATCTGCGCCCGTCCGGTCCCGGGGACTAGTAGCAGCAGTGGCTTGTGCCGAGAGGCGGCGCCCTGAGCCGGACGGGCTCGCGCCTCCCTGCGGGCACTTTGGGGTGCAGCGCTCGCCCGGGGGGCCTGCGCCTGAAAGTCCGACAGTGCCACCCCGCCCTCCCGGGCCGCGCCTGTTGCCCGCGGGGCAGGTGGTTTCAGCGCGGGGAGTCGCACGGCATTACCCCGGTGCCTGTAAAATACTGTGTCAGTAGAGGCCCAGTGCTCCAGCTGGGGTCAGAGGCAGGCAGGAGGATGGGTGCGTGCTAGGCCTGCCTGCAGCCACCACCTTCCCGCCGCAGCCCAGGGAGAGCGCTCGCAGCTGGAGCCCACGCTGCTCACACCCCACGTCTACAAGCCAGATCCAGAGACTGCGGGGCTGGATCCAGCCCCTAGGCTGTAGGTTACCAACCCCTGCTTGATGCGATGGATGACTTACGGTGGGGCTCAGAGGAGTGTTTATGCCTCTGAAATCTTCCACTTCCTAGGAAGGAGGCTTTCCATTTGGGTTAGACTTGATGCCAGGGCAGTAACAGAAGTGAGAGGCACTGATGGCAGCTGGTAGGGTAGTGGTAGCAGGATCTGGGTGTAGGGGCAACAGAATAGATCTCTTGGGCCTGGTGAGTGGCCCCAAATCTTTCAGGGAAAGGAGCATTTTGTCAGTTTGGGGGTTGAATAATTCTGTTTCCTCAAAAAGCAGGTTAGCTGAGTCCTGGGACTCTCGGGACCCCAGAGGCTTGTAGGCAGGACGGTTGTGGTGACCACAGCCCAAGAAGCTGTGTCCACTGCATCCAGGGCTGTCCTTTGCATGGTTTTGTCAGTCCACTGGTTCTCTGAAAGCAAAGGCCAAAAAGGTTATGGGACAGTGCCTTTAGGTATTTGGCCACCACCTTGTGTGCTTTGAAATTGTGTGAGCAGTGCCCAGTAGTTTGTGATAAGAAACTGGAGGCTTGCAGAGGATTAGGTCCTTCTTATCTAATAAATCTGTCCAACAAACCTGTTTCTTAGGAACCAGCCAAGAGTATCAACTTTTTTCACTGGTGGCTGCTGCTACCCCAAGAGATGATGAGGGGGTGGCCTGGGGGTAAGAAAATAAGTACTCAGTACAAGCGGAGCCCTGTTCTTGTTCACATACCTACCAGGTCATGCGAGCGAGGCAGGCAGGTGCCATAGTGAGTCAGATCAAAGGTGGTGTCATTGACAGGGGGTGCCTTGTTAGGTGGTCTGGGCTGATGGAGAATGCCCACTAGCATGTGGCTGAGAGATCCAGTGTCCCCCATGACTTGCAGTCGCTCCTGAAACCCTCCACCCTCCTTGCTAGAGGGAAGAGGAGGGGCTGTTGTCTCCATGAAAGATGAGAACTCCCTTGAGTAGTCTCTTCTTTTTTAATATTAATATCAGAGAGATCAGCTGGACCAGGGGCTGGGGAAACATACAGTCTGAAGAGGCATTTGAATAGGATGCTAGCAAATGTGACGCCAGGTAACTGGACTAGTGTTGTAGTCATTGGGTGGATGAAAGCCCCAAGGCTAAAAGGGCCATGATGATGAAGTAGAGAAGGCCATAGAAGAGGCACACCAGTAGATGGTGTGGAAGTACTTGCCATCATGCTGGGTGAGAGGATCCCTTAGGAGGCTGTGAGAAGGACGCAGAGGCTGGTGCCAGGGACATTTACACTTAAGTCATGTTAAGTGCCCAGTTCCAAGCCTAAACTGAATGATAGCTGGGAGCTTTGGCATCACACAGACAGGAGACTACTGATAGGTGTGAAACCAAAAGGTTGATGGCTGCAGTTAGAGGTGGAGGTTCCTTGTCAGAAGAATTTGTGGCAATTTCTGTCAGGTCAGGGGGTGTAGATGAAGGCAGTCTGTAGACTTTAATACTAGTCAGGGCAGGGGTGGGCAAAATACATCCTGCAGGCCATATCCGGCCTACCAGTTGATTCTATCCAGACTATGGGCCGGCAGCACAGGCAGCAGCTCCAGCTCTGGCCTCTGCTGGCACCCCAGGGGATATTGGATGGGAGCAGACCTGTCTGTCCACCCATGTGGCTCCACATGGCAGGCCCTGGGTTAGCTGTGCTTGAGCCCCAGCACCCTTGCTTGGGCTGGGCCGGTGGTGCCCAGCCTGCCTGTGGCTCAGAGCTGGTGGGAGCTGCCCTGGGAACTAGGACTGCGTGGCAGGTGCTCCACACCTGTAGCCGGAGGCAGCAGAACTTCCCCAGTGCCTCTTGGCAGGTGAAGCCCCAGTTCTGGCCCTGGCCCTGGCCCTGGCCCCACCTACCACATTGCTCTGTGCAGTGCTGTGAGCTGGCCCAGCCACCTGCTGTCCCATCCCATCCACCCAGGTAAGGCTGTCCCTAGTACCCTGGGTGGGGGCAGAGGGTGGGGCTCCTCTTGGGGGAAGGGGAACCCCTAGGCTGCGGGTTGCATGGCCCTGGTGGGGAACTGGCACAGGCTAGAGGGGTTCACTGGGCTTCCCTAGGCTTTGTGGGGGCAAGTGTGAATGGGAAGGGATGGGGCAGGCAGGTTTGGGGTGCAGGTGGCTCTTGGGAGGCGTGTCTGGGTGCAGGCTGAGGCAGAGTTCCCTTGTGATTTGGGGGGTGGCTGGGCAGTGGCAGGGCTCTGCTGGGGGTGGGGCTGTCCTTCCTTGACTGAGCGTCCTGCTGTCTGGTTTTGCTTTCCTTGGAAGAGAGACTTTATTTTGAGTTATGCAACTGCCTCTATATACTACCCAAAAAAGCATAAATCAGGACAAAAATATTTTTTGAAATAAAATTAAAATATTTTATAGTAGATGTGTTATTTTTAGCATATTTTTAATCTATAATTTGTTAAAATGATATCATCACCTTTAATTTTATGTGTGTGGCCTTTAATAACTCACCAAAACTCATTAAATGGCCTTCCAGCCAGAATATTTGTCCACTCCTAAGTCAGGGAAACCAACTGCTTCATCTTTGAGGCAGAATTCTGCACTAGCTCCAGTAGACTGCCTAGCTCCAGTAGACTTAGTCATTAGGAGAAAAATAGAGGCCTGATATGGGGGACTGGTTCCAAACCCCTGCTCAAAAACAAAATGTAGGTACTCTCAACCCTGAAGTTAAGGGGAAGGGTAAAGGGATTAAAATGTAATGGAAAAGAATAAGCAAATTTGGGTGAAGAATGGGTGTCAGGCATTGAATGCTTGTCTCCTTTGCAGTCTACTTTTCAAAGTGTTCCATTCCAACCAGGTACTTGAGAAGGGCTTCAGTGCAGGAAGTATTCACTGCCCTGTATTTCTTTGATGTGGGGGGACCACAGGCTTGAGGGGTTGGAATTCACTCTGAGTCCCAATAAGGCAAAAAGTCTCCAGTCAAAAGCTATGCAGCTGAAGATACCCTAGGGGTGTGTGTCAGGGGTGAGTGGGGTGCAGGGGGGTGCATGTTTCCAAGAACTCCAGGTAATATTAAGTAACATCCTTTTTTCCTGTAACTTCCTGTTTCCACCTTCCCTTGGAAAACACATTATATTTAATTGAAATGCTGGGCTTTATTAATGCTGCAGGCATATAATTTGTATATAATTTATGGAGCAAGCTAGCATCTATTACCATGGAGGATGCCATATAAAACAGAATATATTGATTAGTAATTTTGTTATTGAAATGTCACCCTGGAAACCCGCACTGTAATATGCTGCTTCTATGGAGTTGGGATAGAGAGATGTTAAGTCCCAGGAAACTGGAAATCTGAACTGGAAATAAAGCTCTTGTACATAGAATCAGAGAAAATTAGAGTTGAAAGGGACCTTAGGACAGGGGTGGGCAATTATTTTGGGCAGAGGGCCGCTTACTGAGTTTTGGCAAGCCATCAAGGGCTGCATGACAGGCAGACCAGGGCAGATGAATATGAATTTTCTATTTTTTTTTTTTTTTTTTTAGGGGCCCCACGGGCTGGATAGAATGGTCTGGCAGGCTGCATCTGGCCCCCGGGCCGCATTTTGCCCACCCCTGCCTTAGGAGGTCAAGTAGTTCAACCCCCTGCTCAAAGCAGGAGTATCCCCATTTATACCACCCCAGCCAGGCCTCGTCTAGCCAGGTTCTAAAAACCTCCAAGAACGGAGATCCCACAACCTCTCTGGGTAACCTGTTCTAGTGTTTTACTACCCTCATCATGAGAGAGTTTTTCCTAATATCTAACCTAAGCTTCAACTTAAGACTGTTGCTCCTTGTTCTGTCATCTGTCACCACTGAGAACACTCTAGTTCCATCCCCTTTGGACCCACTCTTCATGTAGTTGAAGGCTGTTATTAAATCCCCTCTCAGTCTTCTTTTCTTGTAGACTAAATAAGCCCAATTCCCTCACCCTCTCCTCAGAAGTCATGTGCCTCAGTCCCCTAACCATTTTCATTGCCTCCTGTTAGATTGTCTCCAATTTGTCCACATCCTTTCTGTAATGGGGGGGCCCAAAACTGAACACAGTACTCCAGATGTTGTCTCACTAGTGCTG